ATACATATATATATATATATTGTGATAAAAAAAATTTAACTTGCATTCTATTCAAAAATGAAGTTAATTGTCACAAATTAAGAATGTTAAATCTTATAGTTATCAGTGAGTTAGTTTTTAATTTTTTTCTTTTTCTTTATAAGTAATAAAAAAAAATGTTGAAATTCTTTGCTATATATCGAATAATCCAGATGCAGTGAAAATAAAGTATTTATTACTATTCAGACTTATCAATTTAAAATTATAATTAACATCATATATTACCATCCCATAACAAACTGAATTAACTATAACAGCCAATTTAATATAAGTTATTTTTGTATAATAATTTTTTTTTCCCTTTATTAATTATAAAAATCTGTAAATGGAATTTTTTGCCTTCTGTGCAATAGTTATAAAATAGTATTGTGAAAAACTAACTTGATTTTGTTTTCTTCCTCGATGGTGGCTGTTTTGTCAGTGGGTTATGATAAGGAAAAACGGTGCCGAATCGATCAGTTGCTTTAAAAATCTGTGGTCTTTATCAAGTAAAAGTATCTTTCATTCTGATTCCCTTACTTTGTTAGTAAATTTCATGTCTCTAAATTTTTTTTCTGTGCAGTTTTCATGTGTATTAGATAGTTTTTACTATAAAAATGTCACAACACTTACAATTGTCTTATTCATAAATTAAATTGCATTTTAATTAACTTCTGTCAACATACTATTTTGTGTAGATAACTTTTTTTGTTTTTAATTCACGCTCATTTTCAGTATTATTTATCATGACGGTATTTTAAATAAGTTTAAGTATATTGCAAGTTCATGGCAAAAAAATAATATTTATCTGACAAAAAAACATTTGTTCATAAGAGGTTAATATTCATTTCATTCCATTGCTTTTTTATAATTAACTTAATTATCATTGATTATTTAACGATTAATATAATTATTTTTCTAAATAAATTTTGTCGCTAAATTATTATTAATGCATTATAATTGCTGCATTGTAATTATGTTTATTGTTAGCTTTAATATATGGTAATATTGCATTGATTAATGTGATATAAGTAATCTTAGTCTCATTTAAATATTTCCATTTATAACTTTAATTTGCAAAAACAAAAATGTTGCAACAATTATATAAATATTTATTTGCACATCTTTCTTTGGTGAATCTTTAATATAAAAATAGATAATTTGATTTTGATTGCTTTACGTTGCGAATAACGTAACATTTCTGATATTTTTTCAACATGTTTCTTTCTTGAAATAATAAGTAAAAATATTTCTATCCAATTTTTTTTTCTCCTTTATGATGCTAACGATGATTATGCATTCAACTGAAACTAAAAATTAATATTGTAACTAACGTAATACTTTAGCAAGCAAAAAAAATGCCCAAGAATTATTAAATCTGATTAAAAAAAAGGTTGCACCATTTGATTTCAGTTGAATATATAATCGTTTTTTGTCATAAATACTCAAAAACAGGACAAAAACTATTTTTATTTGTTTATACCTTCAGAAAAAATTCTGTTAAAAGAAAAACTTAAAATTTCACATTATTCACGATGAAATGAAAACAAGTAATTATTTTATTATACTGTCTAATTCTAATTTATTAAATTAGATTAAAACTTTCTTCCAAAAAAAAGTGCTAGTCTTATTTTATCAACACTTTCAGTTTCAATATCATAGGGAATTGAAAATATATTTATTTAAAAATAACTACTTTTTCAAAAAATTTTGTCTGTACAACATTTATGAAAGTGATGTAAAAATAAATGTAATGAAACTCCTTATTTATTTATGTAACCCATAGACTCCATTGAGTTTTCAATATTGTGTATTATTTTCAAGCATTTGTTGCAAGCAAACTGAACAATCGTCAACTCTGTGATTGTAGTTTACATTGGTCAAATAAATATTGAAATTTCATTTGTCTTTTTATTCATTTACTAGACGGCTAAGCCGGCTATTCTCTGTCACCTGCCAACATCAATGATTACTGTGCTATAATTTTTTTTTTTTTTTCCTCGACCCAATTTTGGGTTACGACTACTAATGTTTAACTCCGTAGCCTTGTAATTTTGAATTAGTCCAGAAGACAAGGAAACTCCTGAATCAGTACCCCTGAATCAATCCCCCAGTGGTATGATTTGTAATGGGAACATGGAGGACTTTGTGACTCGACAGATTTAGCATGCATCTGTCGCCATTCTTCGGCTGGCGGGATCGAACCCACGGCCTCTTGGTGGAATAAGGCTTTTTCTTATAAAAGTTGCAATATTCACTAATATGAGCCGTGATGGCTCCGCCTTCCAATGAGGTGAACCGGGTTCGAATCCCAGCGATGGCTGATCTATACGAATTCCGCATCCGGCTGCATCGACCACAGTGCTGAGATAAAATATCCTCAGTGGTAGACGAATCATGGGTCACTGTCCACTTGCCGTCAAGCTAACCGTGAGAGGTTTTCGTGGTTTTCCTCTCTATGTAACGCAAATGCGGATTAGTTTCATCAAAAATTCATCCATGGAGGCAAATTTCACCCAATACTTCATCCAGGAGTTTCCTTGTCTTCTGGACTAGGCTCAAAATTAGACGACTGCGGTGTTGAACATTAGTTGTCGTATACACCCCAAAAAATGGGTCGGCTGTCCACCAACGATTATAAAATTAAAAAAATATTTACTAATGTATACACTACCCTACAATAATGGAAGACACTTTCAATTTTAGATTATTTTGTAACTCTAGAGGTGTTTAAATCATGCGATTTTACATACTTAGCAATAAGATTTAGAGCTCTCAGAAATTCGAGGGACTAATAACAAATTTCGAAGAAAACAAGTATTTTTGAACACCCTATGTTTGAAAATCAAGCAATAAACTTGTAACTTGTATCGATTCCTTTGAATGATTATTTGCAAAATATTTCGCAAAGTTCCCTTAAATATGGTTATTCTCATATTTAAAAAAAAAAAAAAAAAAAAATTGCACTTCGTTTTTTTTTTTTTTTTATTGGCCGTAACTTTAAAAACATTAAATAAAGTTAAACACATTTTTTGGAGCAATTCAAAATTAATTGCAATATACTGCTTCAAAATTTGAAGAAAATTTTTTTTTAAAGAACTGCGCAATATACCTGTATGAGTATTTAAAGTAGTTCTTTTCTACTGCACATGCGTAGAAAAAATGTAAAAAGATGTTTTTGTAGTGAATCATATATGGCAACTAATGAAAAAAGTCAAATTTGAATATTTTAAAATGTTTCAGCCAATTTAAGAGTAGTTTTTGTATTTTTTAATAATAAGCTCAAAACGATAAGAGGTTTCCCACAAATTTCATTTTTCTAATAACAAATTATTTATACCTCACAATAATCGGCCATACACCAATATGTGATAGTACAAGGAAACATCGCTGGTTCAAAGTTAAAACGACACTTCTGCACTCACTTCTCATTCAAATAACATGAACTTTAAACCAGCGATATTTTTAAAAGGATGATCCCTTTTTTTTAAAAATAAATCATGGTTCATAATACAAAATAAAATTTATGGAGAACCCCTTACAATTTTGAGCCTTCTTTTAAAATGTACAAAAACTACCTAGAAAATTGCTTAAAACTTTTTAAAATAGTCAAATCATCATTTTTCATTTATTGCCATATACGATTCACTACAAAATTAAGAAATATTTATTTTTTCCGATCTTGCTCATTTTTAAAAAACTACTTTAATTACTTTTATCTTCAGAAGTTTTTAATGAATTTTTCTTAAATTTTAAAGCAATAATTTTAGGATCAATTATTTATTGATCCAAAAGTTTTCTTTAATTTTATTCAATATTTGATGTATAATTTCAACTATGATTTGATATATAATTTAATACTTGATAT